TTCATATCATTTTTCAGAATTTTTTAGATTTTGTCTAATTTTATAACTCTTTCTCTCTCTTTCTCTCTTTTTAGAAAGTTTCGCAAATTTTTAAATTCAAATTAGAATTTTTTAGAAAGTGTCTATTCTAGAATTTACCTGACATTTTTTAAACATTTTTCGATTTTTCTAGAATTCTTCATAATTTTTCATTACGTGAACTGTGTGAAACATTTTAAGATTTCTCATTCCATAACTTGTAAAGAAAACTCTTATAAAATTTGAAAGTTTAAAGAAATCCTTATAAATTTCAAATACGACGAATTTTTAAAAATAATATAAGACAATATGAGAATTTTTTCATCGGAGAACCAATGTAGATACGTAGTTTTAATAAGCCATAGAATAGTTTAATCAACTGTGTATATTAATTTTACATATAGAAAATTTGTATAATTTTCATCTTCATGATTATTATATCTTTTTTTTTTGGATGTGGTATGAAATATTTCAAACACCTATATAAAGATTAAAATTTAAATTTCAATAATGCCAATGTGACCGAATTATTTATTGCCACGACAAACACGAGATGAATACATAAATAAATAATCTGCAACGAGCCTTTACACATAACTCATATTACAATGTCGAGAATGCTCATTAATTCTTTTTTCTTTTTTCTTACACAGAGAGCTTGCACAACGGAGGCAAGATGAACAGTCTTGCCCGATCGAATGCCAGTATTTACGGCACGAAAGATGATCTTTACGACAGACTGAAGCGTCACGCGTATACCGGTAAAAAAGGTACAATCCCGCAACTACCCTCGTAATCATATTAATCAACGTCGGCTCATCATACGTGCAGCCATCCGAAAATTACTGCCAACAGGATCGGATGCAACAAAGTCACGCGCACGACCGGCTACTTATTTATTAATTAATTTAAGCCTGTGCATTACTCCCTTCGTCTATTTACTATCATTAGAACACGTAACAAATTTCCGCTCCACTTGATTTAACAGCAGATTGGAAAACATCAGCGCGCTATCTCAGAAACGTCTCCGAGCGTGCGGCGCAGCAAATAACATTACGAAATATCCATTTTGCAGATAAGAGCGACAGCGACAGCGAAGGCCAGTGACCGGGTAGAACAATGACTTTCACGCCAACGTAGAATACGAAAAAGCGGGAGATATCAGTGTAATCAGACGGAGCGACGACAATATCTCATCCTTCGAGCGACGTCGTCGTCGTTGCTCCCCGACCGATCGACGGATCTTATTATTTATTACATTACCATTCTGTACGACGTCGCGCGAGATCCGCGATTATTCTGATCGCATTACCGGAATATGAAGAGAGAGAGAGAGAGAGAGAGAGAGAGAGGCAGGGAGGGAGGGAGAGAGAAAGAAAGAAAGAAAGAAAAAGAACGAAAGAGATCCGATAGAAAGCGCGAGATCTCGCGT